CTATTTAAGTAGTCCGCTTATTACTAAGTTCTACACTAGATGTCATACCTGCAACCTGACTAGGGGGTTACCTATTTTTTAAGATATCTTTATAAAATTTGGTAATGAATTAAAATATAAAGAAATGAAATTTTTTATATTTTAAATAAAAAATCTCAGTATTACCAAAGAAAATTCAATGAAATTTTTTTATTTTAATTCTACAATTTTGTAGAATTAAAATAAAAAGAAGTTCATTAAATTTGTATAGAGTTAGTAAGATATCTTTATTTGAAGTTTTAAAAAGTTAAATATATTGATATACTCATATTAATTATATCAGCAAAAAAAATAGACTGCTAGATATTGATTATTAACTATAGGGATATGTATCGATTGTAATCCTCTTTGCCAATTTATAATGATTACGATACAAATCGATATATAGCCAAAATAAATAGTAATCGATATATAATCAAATAAAAAAATCAATATATATCCAAACAAAAGAAATCAATATATAGTCTTAAAACAATATAAATCGATTATAATAAACAATATATATTGATATAAATTGATATATAACTATAACGATATAAAGCACTATATTTAATATTGCTACAATTAATTTTGAAAAATATCAAACTAAAAAAACATAAAACTGAAAAGTAACAAAATTTTTTATTTTGCCAATATGCAATATACAATATATATACTATAGATTTCTGAAAATAAGCTACTCCGAAAATAAGCTACCCCTTACTTTTAGACAAAAAACTTAAAAATGTCTATATCCCGAAAATAAGCTATCTCGCTATTTTAAATTAAAAACAATAATAAATTTTTAATTTTGAAAATAAGCTACTTTTTTTATTAATAACAAGTATAACTTGTAGCTAGTTTCGAGCAGAGTAGGGAACTTAAGTCCAGACAATAGGTAAAAAAAAATTTGGATGGGTTTCGGGTATAGGATAAGAGCATAAGTAGTACTGTAGTATATGATATATCGTACTCTAAATTTAACTTTATTTACCAGTATATGACATATCATACTTTAAGTTTTTTATATATGATGCAACATAATAAATTCTAATCACTCATAATAAAATAAATTTACAATAGCAGTTTAATTATAGAAATAAATACCATATATGAGTTTAGTGCAGCAATAAATCAAAATTTTGAGTACTTTACTTTTGAGAAACTTCAACATATTAAAAAATGCTCAAAGATACAAGAATGAATATTTGAAGAAAAGTGACTTATAAATATAAGCCTGATTTTTAATTAAATTTGCATTTAATATGGATATTTAAATTTAATTTATTCTTAGAATCTGGACAAATCAGTTTTAGAAGTTTTATATGTACTTTTTAATTATATATTTTTTTATAGCATCCTATTTCTTGACAATTTAGCCTTTTCTATAAGTTTTCGCATAAACTAAACACAAAATATTTAACCAAAATTTATAACAGTAAACGTGTCAATATTTTTAATGATAAAATTATCTGTAGAGCAAGTATTAGATATAACATATCTTTTATATATAAGTTAAAATTGTATTTAATTTTTATTACATGAATAATGTTAGCCAAAACTCTCGTAGAGCTAGTTCGTAAAGTCTAGTAATTCTGGCAAAACTTTTAATATAAAAGTTATATATGTACATGCATACGTACAATTTTGTAATTTTATTGAATCTATTATACTAAGATAATAATTTAATCAAATCAGCCGAAAAAATTATAATAATAGCAATAACAAGATACTATCCGAAAAGACACTATCTGAAAAGACACTATCTGAAAAGATACTATTCGCAAAGACACCCACTACTCACAAAAATACTTGCCTTCTGTGAAGACACCTACCTATAGACATACAAAGATACCTGACTATTTTATCATCATCCATAGAGATACCTAACCATCTACTTACTGCCCATAGAGATGTCTAACTATCCACTCAACTATCTACTTATCCATTCGTAAATCACCCAACTATCCACCCACTCACCCATTGTGAAGGAATCTATCTATCTACCTACCAAAATACAAAAAGAGGAGACATAAAAAAAAAAAAAAGACAAAAGAAAACAATAAATAAAAAAAGGGAGAAAAGAAAGCAGGATACTAATACTGTAAAAATAATTTAAAAATTAAATAAAATAAAAAAATAATTTAACAATAATGATAAAAACTAATTTAAAAAAGATAATTTAAAAAAATAATTTAAATAAAATTATATAATTTATAATTAGCATTAATAAAAAAATAAATTAATATTAATAAAAGAAATAAATAAATAAAAATTAAAAAAAGTATAAAAAAATTAAAAGCGAAAAATAAAAAAAAAGTTAAAAGTAAACAAATAAAAAAAAAGTTAAAAAAAAGTCAAAAAAGCTAAAAGCAAAAAATAAAAAAAAAGTAAATAAAAAAAAAAGTAAATAAAAAATAAAAAATACGATTTAAAAAATGTGAAAGACAGTAGGCAAGTAAACCTGTTTAAATCGTACTTAGTTTATTAATTGGATATATGTAAGAATTTTTTTTTTAACACCTGATAATAAGCTACCCCAGCATTGAGTATAAAAATACTCAAAACTCCTATATCCCGAAAATAAGCTACTTTCGATTTTTTGAGTTTAAAATCGTTCAAAAAAAAGTAGCTTATTTTCGAGAATCTACGGTAATAAATGTGATATATAAAAGTTTTATCCATAATGTTTTTACAAATAAGAATACAAATATACAAAAAAAAAGCAATACTAGTAACTAACACCGAACAAGTCATCCTGTTCTTCCTGTGAAAATATCATCGAATTACTTTGAGAAAGGGATGTAGTGTTGGGTTCATAACTGGAATTAAAGTTGGTAGAGGCATGTTTATCATCATGAGACTTTTGCCAAAGTTCTTTATTGACTATCACATTTGCTGACTATGGGCTAGAACCATTATTATCAAGATTATTCTTATATAATAAATAAAGATCAAATTGCTTTCTAA